AAAGATCGCCTTAGAAGAGTGGCGCCATTGGTTGGAGGGCACGAAGGAACCTTTTCTTGTATGGACTGACCACAAGAATCTGGAGTACATACGCTCTGCAAAGAGACTGAACTCTCGCCAGGCCCGCTGGTCCCTGTTTTTCGCCCATTTTAACTTCACCCTCTCTTACCGTCCTGGTTCCCGCAATGTCAAGCCTGACGCCCTGTCCCGACAGTTCCAGAGGACAGAGGATTCTGTTGTTGGAGCTGAGACCATCCTACCTACTTCCTGCCTTGTAGCCATGTTGACCTGGGACATTGAGGAGAAGGTGAAGGCAGCCACAGAAGGACAGCCGGGCCCTAGCTCCTGCCCGTCTAACTGCCTCTTTGTTCCACCAGCCTTGAGGTCAGAGGTGTTACAATGGGCCCACTCCTCCAAGCTCTCCTACCACCCTGGGATTCAACGGACACAGCATGCCCTCCTCCGACGTTTCTGGTGGCCCACTGTGCAAGAGGATGTCCGGGAATCCGTCAAGGCCTGTCCAACCTGCAGCCAACATAAGACCTCCCGTCGGCCTCCTGCTGGGCTACTACAACCTCTTCCTGTTCCTCACCGCCCATGGTCTCACATATCTTTGGACTTTGTAACCGGTCTTCCCACCTCTGATGGTCACACTGTCATCCTGACAATCGTGGACCGCTTCAGCAAGATGGTCCACTTCGTCCCTCTGCCCAAGCTTCCCACTGCTAAAGAGACTGCCCAGTTGGTTCTGCTCCATGTTTTCCGTCTTCATGGTCTCCCTGTTGATGTGGTGTTGGACCGTGGTCCCCAGTTTTCTTCCGTGTTTTGGAGGGAGTTCTGCAGTCTACTGGGTGCTACCGCCAGTCTGTCCTCTGGATTCCATCCTCAGACCAATGGACAGACTGAACGTATGAATCAAGAACTGGAAACAGCCCTGCGGTGCGTGGCCTCGCAGAACCCCTCTTCTTGGGCATCACAACTTTTGTGGGTGGAATATGCCCACAACTCCCTCGTCTGCTCTGCTATTGGCCTCTCTCCATTCCAGTGTGCTTACGGCTATCAACCACCACGTTTTCCAGCCCAGGAGAAGGAGCTCTCCTGTCCGTCAGTCCAAGCCTTCATCCGTCGCTGCCGCAGAACATGGCTCCAGGCTCGCTCCACCCTCCTCCGTTCCGTGGGTTGTTACACTGCCAATGCCAATCACCGCCGTACTGCTGCACCTACCTACCAAGCGGGTCAGCAGGTGTGGCTCTCCACCCAAGACTTACCTCTCCGGGTGGAATCCAAAAAGATGGCTCCGAGGTTCATTGGGCCTTTCACCATTCAGAGGGTCATCAACCCTGAGACAGTCCGGTTGAAACTCCCACGGTCCATGAGAGTACACCCTACCTTCCATGTCTCCAAGGTTAAGCCAGTCCACAACAGCCCCTTGGTCCCTGCGGCACCACTACCTCCCCCTCCACGAATGGTTGACGGTGGTCCGGTGTATGTAGTGCACCACCTAATTCGTTCTCGGCGGGGGGTAGGGGTCTCCAGTACCTTGTGGACTGGGAGGGTTATGGTCCTGAGGAGAGATCTTGGGTTCCTGCTCGCCACATTTTGGACCCCAACCTCGTGGTCAACTTTCATCTGCAACATCCTGACCAGCCAGCCAATGAGTCAGCCCGTCGAGGAACCCGCACCTTGCCCCCACCTGTCCAGGATGTGGAGGACCGTTCTGCGGGGAAGTGAACCTGCTTGTTTGTGCTGCAATTGGGTCCAGTCAATACCCGTTACAGTTGAGACGTTTTCTTCAAGAAATTTGCTACATTTCATAATCTGAATTCACTTATGGATATACTAAGGCACCAATAACTGTTTTAGATGTTAGGTAGATGTATTTATGACATTTGAGAAAGATTTTTTCTTGCCAGAATCAACATAGCAGTTTCTACAAGCAAAAACAGCAGCACCATATAATTGTTTTTTGTGTTACTCACATATATGTACATTTCTGGCTGGTGACAAAAGTCTGACAGATAGTCTAAGTAGATATTTTAACCCAAAGTCCAGAATGGTATTGTCTATGCAAAAATGCATTGAACAAGTAGCACCAGCGTAGTTGAACGAAATTCACTTTCTAGGCACTTTTTCCTTTGTCCCAATACAGCCTATGACCTCGAGCGTAGTTTCTTTTGCGGAGTTTCAGATGCCGTAGACGTGGATGCATCGGCGATGCTGCCTGAAGGGTTTGACTGACCTGCGGCTGCATCACGTTCTTGTTTCTCAAACGCCTTTTGCAAATAAATCGCTGGTAGCATTTCATGTGAAACCCAGCGTCATCAGGAACATTGTCAAAGTGGATATCAACGCAATGTTTATAAGTTTCTGCAAGGTCCTTTGTCTCACCCTGTAGAGAAAGCCACTTTCTAATACTAGTTCTGTAAGTTTCCCAATGTCTCCTTGTAAAGTCAAGAATGTCTTCACTCTGGATAGATGATAGATGCATATAGCATCGTTTCGTTCCATTTTTATGCACTTTTGAAGGCTGTTTTCTTTTTTTCCTTTTCTTTACTTCCTCTTCGCTTGTCTCGCTGCTAGATGCGCTCGTCGCCATGTTGTGTATTTCTGATACTATGGCAACGAGACTCAGCTCCTACTGGTCCACGTGACAAAAATTCTCTGCATATTAGATTATGCGTGTGCAAGTATCACTACGCCGCAGAAAGGAAATAGTTCGACACCGAAACACTGATTACTAAAAATACAATAGATATTTTTTTTAGTACTTACTATCAATAGAGCTATTTTATGATTCATAGTTTATGTTGCCCCACTGAAGTGGAACGAACCAACATGATCTCACTCAGCCAATACAGCCTTTTAAGCCTACATACTAATATTATAATATTCAGTTTTGTGAGCCAAATTTATTTTATATGTCAACATCTATGAAGGTAAGAGCCAGGCCGCGGAGCGCGATGCATCATTACGCACAAATGGTTCTCATTTTAATGCCATTATTGGAATTTATGTTGTGATCTGTGCGCACAGCCCACCTTTGTCACGTGAGGTTTGAAAATATGCAACTTTATGTGAGTGTCTTTATTTGTGGAAAAAGGGTGTTTTTCTTACCAGTGGGTCCAACCTTACACACACCAAATCCATCTGTGCTTATATGAAACAGTGTGGAGGACGCCCTCTGCAGCGCTTACAGCGACACTTGTTGAGGGGCTGCCTTTTGTTGCCATCGTGTGGCATTGCTGTCTTAAGACATCTCTTGATCTCTTTGACTACTTCACGAAAATAGTAATACGCCTCGCCGGTGGCGGATTTAAAGGCGACAAGAGGAGCTGATGTTATTGGTCAATACAGGTCTCGGCTGTGTCTAACCCTCTCCACACCCTCTCTCCTCCCTCGCTACGACTTACGACGCTGGGAGGAGCTGAGTTAGGGAGGGGGGATACTTATGCCGGGCTGCGCGGCTCACCAAAATACCAAATTGTGCTTGGGAACGCCTTGTTAGCGTTGTGGCGCAGGTGCGGCGTAAGTCAGGTCCGCCGCGCCTGCGCCATGACGCTGGTGAAGCACAAAAATAGAGCCCCATGACTCCCTGTGTACTGGAGTGGAGCTCATTTGGTTCTTGGGTTTAGCTCCGAGTCGCAGCCAGCTATGCCCAGCCGTAGCTGCACCAGGATCAGGGGCAGCAGCGGGGGCTGTAGCACCAGCTGGTGGTGAAGATGCTGTGGCTGGAGAAGGAGTAGAGCGAGACCCAGCTTCCACTGTATCCGCTATGGGTCTCTTCCAAACGACCGGTGTTTCCTTGGGTTCACTGCCGGGAAAATGAACTTAAAGCTGGGCAGAATGAATGAAAACACCGCTGGAGATCTCTGGCTTCTTCAACTTCCACCTCCTCTTCGGACTCGGGGTCTAAAATATATGGTTTAATACCTGCCATTTTTAGCCTTTAGCATAAGGTGACCAGACGTCCCCGATTTGCGGGGATAGTCCCCGTATTGGATGACCTGTCCCCGGCAAAAGCTGTCTCCGAAAATGTCGATTTAAGTGTTTCATGAATGAGAGCAAAAATGTTGCGTGTGGGCTTGAACAACAGTTATTACAGTAGCAGAATAGTTAGGAAGCACAAGTAAGCAGTCCTGAACAACAGTTCTTACGGGGCTTATTACAAGGGGCTTGCGCTGCTACTAAATAATACCGAGACTTTGTCTGTGATCACACAGCCCCTGCTGCCCCTGCACCGCCGCCGCACCGAATAACCCCCGGATATCATTACAGACATCTGGGCACCTTACTTTAGCACACATTAGCAAAATGGATAAACCGAAATCCGAACCTCCACTGCTGAGCCAATCAGAGCACAGCAGGCTTCACAGCAGCGATCCAATCAGAGCAAAGCTCATTACCATAAATGCTTATGAGCCAAAATCAGTTGGTTTTCCTATAAGGTTTTTTAGGCATACTAAAACAAACCATCAAATAACTTTTCAGCTAAAATTATGTTGCAAACATGATCAGAGGACATCAAGGATTATGAAAAAATGATAAAAATGGGTATGAAATTTTGATGGCAGGTCCCCTTTAACATTTTTAAATATTTCCCACCAGTCCTCATCCGCAATTTCCACTCTAAGATCCGCCTCCCTCGTCCGCTTGGTGACCAGGCTATTAATGGGTGTGGTAGATCTCAAAATACCATAGCAAAAGCCAATTGGACATCTTCTAAGGCCAAGTGAAAGAGCTCTCTCAACCTGAGAGGTGTCTGTATCAACTGTTAACGTCATACGTTTAAGTATGGAGTCTCTCACCTGCAGAAAACTGAAGAAAGCTGTGACGCTATGAGTAAAATAACATAAGAACTTCATTACCCAGCTTGCCACAGTAAGAATAATACTGTGTTCGAGTTACCTTGGAGGTATGAAGTCTGAGCTAAAAATGATGTCACATCCAATGAAGCCACAAGATGGCCACATCTACAAAAGTTATTTTAGTGCTTGCCTTATTGTGGTGAGACGCCTCCTCATCTTGTTTTATTTTGGCTGGACTTCCTGTGTTTCCCTGTCTGCCTGGTCTGGCTTTACTTTCTTCCAGAGCTTCCTCCCCTCCCCCGGCGCTGAGGCTGAGTTTTTCCTGCAGTGTCTCCAGCCCACACGACAGCCTGCCAACCAGCCCTCCGGACTTCCTCTGTTTGCATTTCGATCCTGAGTTGGACATTAAAATTACACCTTTAGTTGATCTCAGTCTCAGTGTCTGCTTCTGGGTCCTCACAACTAACCAGCCACACTACAGAATACTCAGGCCAGGAAAATGGACCCAGCAGACCCAGACCGAGTTCAGCAAGCCGTCAAGAAACTCGGCACGCGGCTTGGTCAACATGAGGATATGCTCCAGGATCTCAATTGTTCTTTTCAAGGCCTCTCGGTTCAAGTGGCGCAGCTGGTGGAGCAACTACTCTCTCGGCTTCCACCGCAGCAAACAGGATCTCCCCCCTCTGTGAGTACGGTCCCCTCTTCACCTCCTCCACCACCCTCTATCCTCAAAGAGCCCTATGTCCCTCCTCCTGAGCCGTATGCTGGGGAGATTGGGGACTGCAGAGGTTTCCTGCTCCGCTGCGCCTTAGTATTTGACCAACAGCCCATTAGTTACCCCTCAGATCGGTCTAAAATAGCTTACACAATAAATCTGTTGAGAGGTAGAGCCGCTAAGTGGGCTACGGCTGTCTGGGATAGGGAATCACCTATGTTCTCCTCTTACGCCCTATTCTCAGAGGAGCTCCGGAAGATATTTGATTTTCCTGTCGAGGGCCCCGAGTGTACCAAACGGTTGTTTTCCCTCACCCAGAGCTCTTGGTCAGTGGCGAAGTACTCCATTGAGTTCCGTACAGTGGCGGCCGAGAGTGGGTGGGGGGAACTCGAGTTAAAAGGGATATTCACTTGGGGCCTCTCTGAACAATTGAAAGATGAGCTAGCGGCTCGAGATGAGCCCTCCTCCCTTGAGGAGCTAATAGCGCTAGCAATCAGAATAGATAATCGCCTCAGGGAGAGACGGAGGGAGAAGAAAAGTCATTCCCCGGTACGTCTTATAGACTCCCCTTCCTCTGTTGCGGTCAGCGGGTCTCCTCTCCAGCCCTCAGTCTTCCCAGATCCGGTGCCCTCTGCCGAGGAACCCATGCAGATCGGCTGCACCAAACTACACCCAGATGAACGGAGACGGAGGATAGAGCTAAAGCTCTGTGATTATTGTGGCCAGGCCGGTCACTTTTTGGCCAACTGCCCAAATAAGTCAAACGGCCAGGCATCAGTGACAGTCGGCACCCTGAAGAGCCACACCTCCTCTGTTCCCAGCTCTCCCAGACGTATCGCTGTTCCAGCCTGTCTCCTGTGGGGGAAGGGCTCCACGTCGCTCCAAACCCTTATTGACTCCGGGGCGGACGATAACTTCATTCACGCCGGACTGGCAGCGCGACTTCAGCTCCCCCTGGAGGAACTCCCGGTCCCCCGTAAGGTCACCGCTCTCGATGGCAGAGTGATAGCCTCTATCACCCACTGCACTGCTCCTCTCACCCTCATCCTCTCCGGTAACCATCGGGAGGACATCCGGCTGTTCCTGCTTCCCTCTCCTCACTCTCCCCTGGTGCTTGGACTCCCATGGCTGCAGATCCACAATCCCCAGATCAACTGGTCCACAGCGTCAATCTCCGCCTGGAGCCCTCACTGCCACTCTCACTGCCTCCGCTCGCCCCCTGTGCTCAGACACCCGGATCCTTCTCTCCAGTTCATGGTGGAGGTCGACGCCTCGGACTCCGGAGTGGGGGCCGTCCTCTCACGGAGGGATACCGAGACCCAGAAGCTCCATCCTTGCGCCTACTTCTTCCGGAAATTCTCACCCACCGAACAAAAGTACAACGTGGGAAACCGTGAGTTGCTGGCTGTTGTGTGGGCACTCCAAAGATGGAGACACTGGCTGGAAGGAGCGCAACACCCATTTCTCATCTTGACGGACCACAAAAACTTTCTTTACCTCCTTTCTGCTCGAAGCCTCAACTCCAAGCAAGTCCGCTGGTCCCTCTTCCTCCGCAGATTCACCTTCACCGTCTCCTATCGTCCCGGCTCCCACGACCTCAAACCAGACGCCCTCTCTCGGACCCACTCCTCGGTTACCCCGGACCCCAGCGAACCGGACACCATCCTCCCTGCCTCGTGTGTCATCGGCTCCGCCTCTTGGGAGATCAACCCCTATTGTGGACCAGGCTCTCCGGAACAACCCAGACCCGGGAACTGGCCCGCCGGACAGAAAATTCATCCCTGGGGTTGCACGTTCCCAGATCCTACAGTGGGGGCACTCCTCCAAACTTACCCGCATGGCGGAGCGCAACAAATGCCTGGCTGATGTGCACCGCTCCCCAGCACCAGACTATCGTCCTGGTCAGATGGTCTGGTTATCGTCCCGTGACCTTTCCCTGCAGACCGAGTCCCGCAAGCTGTCCCCCCGCTTCATTGGTCCCTTTCCGATCCAGAAAATCATCAACCCTTCAGCTGTGAGATTAAAACTTCCTTCATCTCTCAAAATCCACCCCACATTCCATGTCTCCTTGATAAAACCTGTTACCTCATGCACCCTGAGCCCCTCCGTCGCCCCTCAACCCCCCCGGTTGATTGACGACCACCCTGCCCTCACTGTACGGAAAATCCTGGACGTGCCGCCGCGGCAGCGAGGCTTCCAATATCTTGTGGACTGGGAGGGGTACGGTCCAGAGGAGCGTTCCTGGATCTCCCGCTCCCTCATCCTGGACCACCAACTCCTTGACGACTTCTACGTCGCTCACCCCAACAAGCCCTTAACGAACGCCAAGAGGCGTTCGTTAAGGGGGGGGGTACTGTGGTGAGACGCCTCCTCATCTTGTTTTATTTTGGCTGGACTTCCTGTGTTTCCCTGTCTGCCTGGACTGGCTTTACTTTCTTCCAGAGCTTCCTCCCCTCCCCCGGCGCTGAGGCTGAGTGAGACTACACACCTGCTCCACATCTCCAATCAAGGCACTTTAAGAAGCCTGCAGCCCTCAGTCTCGGCGCCTGAGTATTGTCTACCCTTCCTAGCGGTAAAGACGCGTCTCCTGGCCAACCTCGTTTGTGTAATCATCAAAACTTTGCTCCTCGTGACTCTTTTCATGTTCAGTAACTCCCGTCTCCTCTGGATTTTCCTGCAGTGTCTCCAGCCCACACAACAGCCAGCCAACCAGCCCACCGGACTTCCTCTGGTTGCATTTCGATCCTGAGTTGGACATTGAAATTACACCTTTATTTGATCTCTGTCTCAGTATCTGCTTCTGGGTCCTCACAACTAACCAGCCACACTACACTTATGTTTGGACAAGGCAAGCACTAAAATAAGAGCTATGGAGAGGCAAAACAACAGTGCAGGCCATACATAAAGAACAAAAACAGAAGGATATATTTACCAAACAAAAGGTCCAAAAAGAGAAATCTGCAGAGTTCAAGTGCGGTAAATGTGGAGGCAGCCACCAGCCAAAATCTCAATCATAGTGATTGAGCAATCACTATGCTCAATGGTGCAAAGCAGCTTCAAGACAGAAAGTTCACATGGTTAAGGAAGATGATGATAACGAGAAGTTTATTGTGGATACAGTGCATGCTTGCACAACTGAAAAAGAGCAGTGGATTGTGCCAGTCACAGTGAATCAGATGACAATACCCTTCAAGCTTGATACAGGTGCTCACATAAACCTGCTTTCATTGGAAGCCTACAAAACACTGACTGTAAAGAGCAAAATTAATCCTGTAAAGACAAGAGTGTGTAGATACGCTGGACAACGTGTTCCTGTCAAAAGCAGATGCATCGCAACCTTCAAACACCAAGCTGGACAGATAACAGCACAGCTACTGATTGTGGATATGAGTGTACAACCAACCCTGGGACTCAGTGCATGCATGAAGCTCAATCTGATCAAAAGAGAGTTTGTGGTGACATTGTCAGATACTGCGAATGCCCAGGACTTACTTATGGAGGAGTATAAAGACTGTTTTGAAGGACTTGGATGTCTACCTGGACTACATAAAATATGTGTGGATAAAAATGTGACTCCTGTTGTGCACCCTTGCAGGAAAGTTCCCTTTGCGCTGCAAAAAAAAACTGAAAGATGAACTAGCGCGCATGGAAAAACTAGGAGTCATCAAGAAAATAGATGACCCAACTGAATGGGTCAGGTTGCTGGTTGTGGTGCAAAAGAAAATAGTTGCCCTGAGACTGTGCTTGGATCCAAGGGACCTAAAGCAATCAAAAGAGAACAGTTCAAGTTACCAACCAGAGAGGAAATCATGGCACAATTTGCTGGAGCTCAATGTTTCAGGAAATTAAATGCTTCATCAGGTTTCTGGCAGCTGAGGCTAGACGAGTAGAGTTCCCGACTGTGCACATTCAACACCCTAAAGAGCAGGTACAGGTTTCTTCATCTGCTGTACAGTATCTTGTCAGCACCGGAAGTCTACCACAAGACCATCCACATGATCTTTGAGCACGTGCATAGAGTAGAGACAATGATGGATAACATCATAGTTTGGGGCTTAACTCGAGAAGAACATGATGAAAGACTGGGACAAGTGCTGGACAAGACAAGGGAGGTGAATCTGAAACTTAACAAAGAAATGTGAGTTTGGAGGGAAATCACTTACATTCGTGGGAGATGTTGTGAGCAAAGAGGGAGTAAAGCCAGACCCGAGAAAAACTTCAGCAATCAACAACATGGATAGACCAACCAACAAAGATGAGGTCAGATGGTTCCTAGGGTTGGTCACCTATCTCGCCAAGTTCATCCCTCGACTGTCAACACAGTCAGCATCTCTCAGGAGTCTTCTTAAGCAAAAGAATAAATAGATCTGGTCCCACGAGCAGAAACAATGCTTTCTAAAACTTAAAGACTTTGACACAGGAGCCTGTGTTATAGTTCTACAACCCAAAGAAGAGCACCAGGATCTCCAGATGCAGATGCATCACAGTACAGCCTGGGAGCAGTGCTGCTGCAGTGACACGACAAGCAGTGGTCACCTGTTGCTTATGCATCCAGAGCCTTGACAAGCACCAAGTCCAGGTATGCTCAAATTGAAAAAAAAAAAAAAACTGTTGGCAAGTGTGTATGCATGTGAGAGTTATTAATAAGCCTACAGCCAGATGTTTGAAGTGGAAACCGATCATAAACCCTTGGTGTCCATCATGAACAAACCTTTCAATGACTGTCCTGTATGGATACAGTGCATGCTAATCAGGCTGTAAAAATACGACATGCACATGATATACATACCAGGAAAATACATGTACACCCTCGACACCTTGTTTAAAGCAATGGACAAAGAGGAACATGCTAACAGTAAAAAGGGCACAGAAATACAGGCATATAAGGACATGGTTGTGACGTCTCTGCCTGTGACTGCTGACAGAACAGATCAAATCAGGAGAGAGACTATCGCAGATAAAACGATGAAAGAACCCAAGAACTCAGTACTGAAAGGATTGCCTGACAACAAAAAGGATTGCCCTGTGAAGATACAAGACTACCAGAATTGTAGAGCAGAGCTCACAGTGGTGGATGATCTAGTGTTGAAAGGGAGCAAATTTGTTATTCCATCCTCACTGTGCAAAGAAATGCTCCAGAAGATACACGAAAGCCACCTTGGAGAAGTCAAGTGTAAACGAAGGGCTAGAGAAGTGATGTACTGGGCAAGAATAAATCAAGATATTAGCCAGACAACAGCGTCATTTGAGCTTTGCCACACCTACAGGCCAAAACAACAAGCTGAGCTGATGACTCATCCAGTGCCCCACAGACCTTAGTACAAAGTAGGTACTGATCTGTTTGACTATGATGGAAAGAGCCACATAGTGGTCACTGATAGCTTTTCAAACTATCCTGAAGTTGGAGCGCTGCAGTCAATGTCGAGCAAAGCAGTCGTCAGCTATCTAAAGACTGTTTTCGCCAGACATGGTGTCCCATTTGAACTGTTTTCAGACAATGGACCCCAATTTTCTAGCTGCGAGTTTGCTGCCTTTGCCAAGGAATGGGGGTCTTAACACTCCACGTCAAGTCCAACTTATCCAAGGTCCAACGGCTTGGCGGAAAGCTCTGTAAAAACTGTGATAACCATGCTGAAAAAAATCAAAGGAGAGAGATGACTTTCAGAAAAGTCTGCTGATCTACCAGTGTGCACCTCTACAAAACGGATGCCCAAATGCTGATGGGTAGGTGCATTTGCTCCAACCTACTAGTGAATGAAGACCTGATGATGCCTAAGAGCACACACAGAGTCAGAAAAGTAAGAGAGGAACAAAAGCAAAACAAGAACAGCTGCATGATCGAACAGCAAAACACCTGCCGGTGCTGAGGCCTTGAGACGTTGTGCATCTCAGGAACATTCCTACAGGTACATGGAGACAAAAGGTATAGGTGGTCCACGTTCCTACAGGACCCAGACGGAAAATGGACTGTCTCTGAGATGGAACCGCACAGATCCTCAACTACAGCTGAAGGAAGAGGATGCTGCGGCTCAGGACACGGTTCAGCAGGGCGCAGCTGGATCTAAGGAGCTGGCTGATAGTGGGCTTGATCATGCTAACAATAGTCTGACAGCATTGTCTGCTTCACCAACTGTTGAAAGACCATGGCTGTGTCTCAATTCAGAGACTGCATACGGCTGAGCGCGCTCAAGTGTGTTTAGCTGAGCGCACTGCCGTTCTGTGGACTTGAGTACCCTGGGTGAGATGGTCCGGTTTTCGTGAATTGGGACGATCTACCCTTCAGAGGACTTACTGGTTGAGTCGCAAAATGTCCCCGCCCTCAGGCTCACGTCATGACTGACATGAAGAAAAGCTGCGGAGCGCAGCAGTTATTTTTTAACTGTGCGACCTTGCACGGACACAAAACAGTAGATACATGCAAGCAAAGACCATTTCCACAATATTCATCCAATGATTCCATGTTTTGTATGGAGTATGAGGGCCATATTGAAAACTTTTTTAAAGACTTCGAGATTAAAGTCATGAATTTAGGAGAATAAAGTAATTAATTTATGAGAGTAAAGTCGTAAGGTTACCTGTTATTTCAAAGGAGAGTTGTTAAAATTAGGGCCATGAAGCATTTGAAGGAATTGTGCTTCAGTATAGGTTTCACAACCAAGGAGATACTTCATCCTTTGGCACGTCAGCATTACATTGTCACAAGTATAAGGACTTTAAAAAGAATATATGAGAAATGTGTAAAAAACAGGTGGACTTAGAGAATATTGCTGCTTTTGTGGAGGCAGAAATGGATATGCTGCAGATAAATCCATCAATGCAGCTGTAAATAGCCGTGAATGACATTGAGCTTTAGTTTATGACATGAATCCATATGCCATAATAAGGCGTTGGTGTCTCTGCAGGTGTAGGTTACTGCCAGTGTCAGAGACATGGTGCATCTTATATGAAGTGCGAGACAACACAAAAGGGGGCCTATGAAGTCATATTTTTGCTGTAACTGGTGGCTCCTCTGCCTCCGTTAAAGGTGGGGCTGCTGGGCCACCACCCGTTTTTCTGGCATCTGCCCTCTTTCTGTTTGCTGAGTGAAAGTCTAATATTGAGTGTACTGTTTGTTAGTTTAATATATATACATATACATACTGAGAGTTAGTTTGATATTCCTAATCATTTGACAGAACATCATAAGAGAGTAAAATTCATTTTTGAGTGTGAAAAGAGCATTTTGTAAGGGATCAAACTGCCACTTAATACTTACTTGACAATGTAAAACATGATCAAAATGAGAAAATGCAGATGTCTCACCTGTTTGCACAATGTTTTTATATTTAATTTTCAGCTGCTGCCAAGTGCACTTTTGTCCCGCTGGATTGCACCTACATAAAATAAATTAATTGGCTCCATGCACGCAGTTTCCCCTGCAACAGTCTGTCATTGTGATTGCACAAGACTAGATTTAAACTTACGCATAGACGCGAGCAGCAATTTCCTCCCATGCCCTCTCCCTCTCCTTTGCAGCTGCTGCTGTATTGCACTTTCTTTTAAAAACGTGCTGTAACTCGCTTGTATCAGTACTTCCAGCTCC